TATAACAAAGCTTTTTTGCTATCAGTCTCCACTACGCGAAGTGTCAATACAGTTCTCAAACCATATTTATACTCCAAACTCACTAGTGCAGGCACATGTAAGATCATACTTTGTATAACTTCAATTGATGTATTTAACGTATTAATGACAATATCCACTTGTTCTTGTGCTTTCCATCTCCATTTAAGAGGATTAAATATGTGAGGTATGCACGCTAGACTCTCAACATTTCGTTTATAATTCTCATGTATGTTCAAACCGTTTAGAATCGTGAATTTTCGCGTAGTAAGTAACTGACGTTTCAACAATAGTTCCAAATCTAGAACATCACCCACTTTACCCGATAGTTTTAGTTTATTATTGTCCACCAGTATTTCTACATGTACAACGTCTTTACTCAAAAGTGGATATATTCCAAGAAACTGTTGTTTTTCTTCCTCGTTGCCGTTGAAAGCCCGACATATTCGATTTTCTAGCCAAGTTGATTTTACTTCGCCAACGAATGATAACAGGGCAATTTGACGGACAGCTGTTGAATATCTTACATCACGTGCTAAAATTATTGATACTGGCGTTTCACTCATTGGACGGTTAAGTGTGGATGAAAAATCTAATACAGCATTATCAAACAGATGATTATAGCGAACAAAATTATGCGTTTTGCCTTGTAAATCTTTCATAGAAACAAACGTATTGTCAGTATAACCTTGAAGTAGGGCTCGAGCAATACATTCCCATTTACCACCACAGGATATATGTGCTGCAAAGCGATATTTATCACAGATATTAAATGATTGTTCCAATGATGAGAGACGTCTGATAGCTTGTTTGAGAATATGCTTAACCGAAGACAAGCCTTTTTGATCACATATGTTGTAAATACATTTATTGAATTCTCTAGATGATAAATTGTGTTTAATAGCTAATACATCATTCATTACGTTTAATACTGTCATAAAATCGCCATCAGCAGATTTGTAACGTGCTGGTAATTGCTTTAAGATGTTAGAGGTATTTAATACACCCAATATTGATGCTAAGCGAATTAAATCTTGACCGCAATTGTAATCTGTTAATGCTGAAAATACAGCAATAGACATTGATAAACTACCAAAATCTGGTAATTTACTTATTGCTAACCCATATGGTGTAAAGTGGTCATTAGTATCATCTAGTATATCTAACTGTTGTAGCTGTTTTATTGCCATGGTCAGTATTGATTGTTCGGGCGGATCTGGTAAACAATATTTCAAATCATTCAAACTCATTTTCAGTGGCGCTTTTCTTAACGAGAATTCGATGTTTACTAAATCCATTTGACATATCTGAGGTATTGGATGGGTTCGATTTGATTCCGCGACATCATATAATGCATAATAATCACCTGGTTGCGTTCGTCCTAATCTACCACGTCGTTGCTTTATCGTTGATTCAGAAGCAAAAACTTCTTTTAATATGGTTCTGTTCTTTTCAGGATCATAGACAGGTAAATGAAGCACCCCCGAATCAACCACGTAACGTAAATGTGGGAATGTTAATGATGTCTCGGCCACAGTTGTTGAGAAAAAAACTTTCTTATGTTCGATAATGTTTTTTTGATACACTGCAGACTGCGATTGAATTAATGGATAAGCTGTTATAGTACCATTACTCAATTCGGATAATAATTTGATTAATTCAAAAACTTCTTGTACTGACTTAACAAAACACAAAATTTGTTCATAGCTTTTCTCACATTTTTTATATAAGTCTAGCACCAATTCCAGTATGCTTTTCGTTGTGTGATGCAATACGACGTCATAGAGTGGTGGCATTGTTATGCTAAACTGATATACCGAACATTGTTCGATTGATTCAAATTTCTTACAGATGGCGTTGTCTAATGTTGCTGATGATATAATTATTTTCAGCCGATGATTTAAATATGGCTGTGTTGTTAATAGACGAATTATCAACGCAATGCATAAGTCAATATTAACTGAACGTTCGTGAACTTCATCAAGCATTATCACGAAACGTCGATCAAATTTAACTTGTTGTGTAATAAAATTTTGATTAAATTGTAGATAATCTTTCAATAAACCGTCAGTTAAATATAGAATGGGAGAGCGACTGTTCGACTGTGCTCCCGATACACACCAACCACTTATTTCACCAATCGTTGAATTCACTCGTTCTGATATTTGCGTGCACGGAAATCGTCTAGGCTGAGTAACAATAATTTTATCGTAGCCACTAGCGAGTAGTAATGCTGGTAATAATGTTGATTTTCCTGAGCCGGTTGGCGTTGAAATTGTTACAACTGTTTTCTGCTCTATTTTTTCGAGTAGTTCAATGGATGACTCAAATAATGGTAACTGCAACGCGAAACAGCGAAAATAAATGTTTATACGTTGTAAGAAAGCTGGTATATTATTATACTGATTTGCGTCAGAAGCACGAGATTCTTGTTCCTCTTTAAATGTGGCAACTAAATTTCTTAGATGTTGGTCTAGAATATAAAGACAGCGAAACGTAACAGAAACGGGATTAGTTTCGATTATGGTTGTAGCATAAGAAATGAAGTCATATATGTATGCAGCATCGTTATACTGGAATGTGATTCATTTAGAAAAGCAGCGTATTATTAGGAATCATGTTAAAAATCAGAACGTGATCTCCTTTCGTTTGAGCTGTGTATGGGGTACCACGTTTGTGAGACAAATCAGTTCGCCTGTTGTCTATTCTTTTCCGTAATGCGAGAATGAACGGTAACTCGAAACTCAAGGTTTCATTGAAAGGGACCACTGCCATCGATCGTCTTTGCACAGAATAAAATAGATATCAATAGAATCATCCATTATGCAGACAAATTGCGTGCCGATAGGAGAATTGAAATACAACATCAATTTTTTGCAAACCGAAGTTCGCAAGAGCCAGGCGAGTGTGAGCAAGAAGTTACTTCAGCTTTGATTTGCCATGTGAAATTACGTCCAGATTGATGAAAAAGATATATATGTTTTCAGAGTGTAGGCTTAGTAATTCTGCATATACTATGACGCAAATCATACTTGCAACCCTTACGGTTTGTTAGCGTTTCTTTTCTTGGAATGAGACTTTACAGCACTACTCTCTCAGCAACATCGCGAAGAAGATAGCTTTTTATAGCTGATGACTAAGTTTACCTCGAACGTGAATGGATTTACCAGTTGCTATATTGTTGACTTCAATTTTGTTTATATAGTCCTCTAATGCTAAATGCTTTGCGTTTTTTACAGCGTTTTTGAACGAATGAATTTGTGCATTACGCGCAACTGCACTATATAGTTGTTGTCTCCATTGTTTGTCAGTGTTTTTTATACAAACTTTCACTAATGTTATACAAGTTTCATCTAACGTCTTATTAAATGTTTCGGTAAGTTGTTCTTGTTTAGCAAGTATTGAATTCATTAGTTGAGTAGAATAACGGATCCAATCACTTTTCATGTCCCATCGGCAATTAACAGACTGCAATTCTCTCACTGTTGATCTAACATGGTCTTTGATACTTATCCAATGATCAGATTGTTCGGAATGTATAGTGTTAATAAGTTCATAGATGTTTTTTTGTATCACAGCCATCTCGTTATGATGTTCGTGAAAACCTTTAACTCTAAATGTACAAAACCTTTCATCCCTCACACTTTCGAGTACAGTTACACTTGGTAAATCAAAAATATATTCATCATAATGACATTGAATACTTTTCAAAGATTCGCGAAATGTGCCTGCTGTTGTTAATAAATATTCCTTTGCGGGAAACTCATAATCAACTGTAATAATTGCATTCAATATATCATTCAGTTCTTTTTCTCGCTCATCCAACTGTTTATGTTTTTCTTTCCATTCGTTAATAGAATTCTGTTTATCGTTCAGTTTTACATTTAATCTTTCATTTTCGGATTCTAATTCTTTTATTTTTTGTTCTTGCTGCTTTTCTTGTCGCAGTTGTTCATTTTCTTCCTCCTGAGCTGCACGCGTTTTTCCAATTAATTTTTCAATTAAATTTCTTTTGCTTTCTTTCAATTCTTTTTCTGTTTTAATATTTTTTAATTCTTGTTCAGCTTTCTCTAGCTCTTTTCGGTAGATCTTTATGTTGGCTTTTATACGATTTCGTTCACCTTCTTTTGTCTGAATGCTACTTACAATTAACTGTCGAGCCGTTTGATTATGTACCGATCGATGGTCGTTAATTACAATTGGTGGGATGCGCTCGACAGTGGTGTGCATTTTGCGATCGTTGTCCGACAGTGGCATTATAATATCCTGCTGCTGGTTAGAGTTCGACTGTTGTTTGTCTTCTGATGCAATATTATCTTCGTCATCTATTTCTGTTAAATTGGACGCCAACTTTTCTAGAACATCATCTTTTCGACGTTTCGGTACACAGCGTTGATGTAAATTCATCTTATCAGTAGTCGAATCAGATTCTATTGATAGATAGTTAGGTAACCATCTTAGATGACCGTAAGTTGTTTTATTGCTATTTTCGAATGTAAATTTTCTTAAATCTAATTCAACGTTTCCAATAGTGCTTAATTCAATAGCAACTCGTCTGAATCGATTATTCATAATTTTATCAATTGTTTCACATGATCTTGCATTCCAATCGTACCAAGTATTCAACTCATAAATTTTATCAGTACTCAAAAGTGATGATGACTGTTGATTATTGTTCGTATGCTTTAGTAACATAAATTGCCACATAGGATCTATATCAAAATTATAAAAACTTGATCCGCGACAACGTATCCACGCTAACCGATCACTATTGTTTCTTGATCTCAAAAATTTGACCAAAGATATGTTGTACAATGTTCCTGAATCGCTGGGCAAATAAACTGTTGTATCAAAATCTTTGTCGGGTGTTGATAAGGCAGCATTTATTGAATCAAAATTTTGTAATTGATTCCAATTTTCACTGTCGTGTCTTTTATATTCCCAAACACAATCCTTTTTAGGTTCTAGTTCTTCTAATGTACACACCGGTAATTGGTCAGAATTTTTATCTATATAACTGATAATGAAATTATTCTTTATCCAATTAACAACATCCTCATTTTTAGAATCCAATTCCATAAATGGTGTTTTATTTGCTTGATTTTTAATGTAACAATTTGCACTATGTTTAATTAAATATTTTATCATATCGAAATGTGCGTATATGCACGCTCCATGCAATGCTGTGTCTCCAGCACTTGATTGATTCAAACCATTTTGAGCATCTACTGAACATTTGATTGTTCGAATCAAATAATCAACTAACTGCATATGTCGAGAAATAACCGCTAAATACAACAGTGTTTCACCCTTTAAACCGGGCTTATCTTTGTAGACAGGATGTTTACTGAGAAAATTCTTGACAATATCTAAATTACCATTCGATGCTGACCCATAAACTGTTAATGATGACAAAAAACCACTCAATCCATATAAAAATGGATATAGATCATCGACTGTTAATGAATCTAAAAATTTGCTATCAACAAATTTAAATTCATGTAAGTAGTCTAGTAGATAATTGAAGTGCACTGTTGAGATATTTGTTTTTAACTCGTTAACAATGATTGATATATCATTTGTTAATTTATCCAGTAGAACAATGTCATCCGCATTAAGTGATAATAGATTAGCCTTAATGCTAAATGCCGCTATATCATCGCAGTCAATAGTTGCTGTTTCTGGTAATAATTTCAATAACGTTTCTTTATTCAGTCGAATGATGTGCTTTACACCTTCGGATAATGTTTGCGTGTCCGTGTCCATTGTGTCACTTACTATAAGGATGATGGCAGCACCGTCAAAGGTTTGCTTTCAAGTTCGATCAAAGGCTTAGTATCTGAAAAAGTAACAAAATGGAACGTTTTCGGGTTCTAGGAGGTCAAATGAATCTTTCTTAATACATACATTTTATTTCGTTATTCTTTAAAAACCCATTGAAATGTTATGAAAAAATCTGAAATTCATTCGAGTTTGCAAAGAAATGTGCGTACAAGGAGGGAAAAGAGAGGATCAATCCCTTTTTGGATCCCTTTTTAATGTCCTTATGATTCTTCTGATCTCCTAGTCTCTGTACAATTCTCCTGTTTTGCTATCTCTTTTAAATGTGTGAAACTTTCGGAAACACTGTCAAGAAACGCCTCTAGCTCAACGAAAATCCACCTTGTCAATCGTTATGTTATTGGGCTACGAAAATTTTATTTTCGTGCTTCATTAGTCTAAAGTTATTTTCAAGAAAGATTCAAACACTTTTCTTATATTTAGTCCTGTTATTTTGCTTATTTTACATCTTAAAAGCCACTAATAACCGAGCTAGCTTATATCGATGTAATTCATAATCGTGATGATATTAATCTTTTAGCGCGTGCCTGACTTTTGTGCATTTTTATTTTAAGATCTAACACAATCAACATGCATAACTCAGTCTAGATATTGATGAGAGAGTTTTTTATAATCCGTCAAACTGTTTTTGAGAAAGATAGTTCGGCTTGGCCAGCAAGCTGTCACCGTTCAAGTAGGAGATTAAACTGTAAAACCGATCAAAACCAATGATAACATTAGAAAGAGCGGCTAGAATAGTATATTGAATCGGCATTAAGACCACCACGAAGCGCCCTCAGGCGCGCTATCCATTGGTTAAATGTTTTAGGATCATTAGCAGAAAATCACTAATGATACGGCCCAATCTTTCATATCATTTGTTCCCCTCTAAACCCAAAGTGAATAAAGTTGAAATTAAAGTATATCAGTGGGAAAAATGTTGCTCTTTTCAGTGGTCACTAGATCAGACTCCGAAACTGTACAGATGTTAGAAAGGAGTAGGGCGGATAAGACCCTTTCCTAGCCCACAAAATTTCGTTTTATTGCGTTGGAACCATGTCAGGAGATGCTCAGGAACAGTTCCAGACACCTAGTTTCGCGAAATCTCTTAGACAGGTTTTTGAGACTCGAGTTCTTCGCCAGGATGTCTGGAGAACTTTTCATTTTTGATTTTTTCCATCTGGTAATATATAATCGACCACGCTGATCACGAATATCCCTATTAGAAGTGTCCGAAATGGTTTGATAAGGCGTAATCTTCAATTTACCTCAATTTTCTTGTTTTCCGCCGAAAACAATATTTCGAAGTCCCCTAGCCGAGGAAGCATTGAAAAACTAAAATAGTTAGTGATTCAGATGTAAAATTTTATGCTGAATCCGAATATAAAATTAGAAAAATTACAGAAGCTCAAACGTTTTTGAAAATCGACCAAAATTGATGAAAATCGTGTTTTCTGATGGTATTTACCCCAGATGACCCAGACAGAAATTCACGCACCTCCTCAATTTTGTGCCGAATATGGAACTTTTCATGCTCTATCCGCTGGAACTGAAAAAGAACAGGAAATGCTTGTACAACACGGCAGAACAGAAAGTGCGATTTAACGATTTTCAGCAGATTTTCGGTGGTATTTCCTACATTCCGCCACTAAAACAACATTTCAGACAAAAGCAAAAGTGTTATTCGGAATGTGCGTGAAAAATAGAGCTGAATGACACGTATCTCATGTGTTTTCCATTACTATCACTTTTCACCAAAAAAAATTCGGCCTTGGTACCCCTCAGGAAAACGGAAAACGGAAAACTTAATTTTTGTATGTTACACTTCTACCTTCTGGTTTTGGCCTAAACTGTCAAAATAAGTCATTTCAAGTGGCAACCACTTCAGAAAATTGAGTTTTAGGAAAATTATTGAAATACTCTTTTTTGGTGCAAAACAAGAAAATTGAGGTAAATTGAAGATTACGCCTTATCAAACCATTTCGGACACTTCTAATAGGGATNATATTCGTGATCAGCGTGGTCGATTATATATTACCAGATGGAAAAAAATCAAAAATGAAAAGTTCTCCAGACATCCTGGCGAAGAACTCGAGTCTCAAAAACCTGTCTAAGAGATTTCGCGAAACTAGGTGTCTGGAACTGTTCCTGAGCATCCCCTGACATGGTTCCAACGTAATAAAACGAAATTTTGTGGGCCAGGAAGGCCACTCCGCTGTAATAGATCGTGGCTTACGTGCAATGGCTCTTAAAAATTAAGAACGGCTTAAATTTTAATTTTAATGATATTTAACAATAGCGACATCACAAATTCATCAAAATTTTAAATTTATTATAAGCCGTCAGGTGCTATATTTTCTTAACAAAAACTGCTTAGAATGAAGATATAGAGGTACGCGAATGATAGAGAACCAAAGAGGATTGGCTGAGTTTGTTTGAGTGTCGAATTTAAGGCAAGCATAATCTTCTACATTGGAAGCATGAAATTCCGTCATGGTCGATATCCTGCTTTATCTTAGCTGTCAAGAGCAAAACTAAAGACCTATTCTGGAAGTCCAAATTGACGGACATTTTTTCTGTGAAGTATATCAAATGACAATGCCTTATTTCAGCGAGAAATTTCAAGTTCAAGGACACTCAAAAAATATTTTCATTTTTTGAAATTCCGTCACGATCTGTATTTTTGCTATAATGTTTTGCACCGATCGAACTCACACTTTCAGAATTTGAAGAACCTGCTATTATAGACATTTGGCAAAAATTTTATCACAGTCATTTACAGTCAGTTACATGGTTTCGGAGATACGAAACAAAGAAGTCGAAAAAGTGAAGTTCCGTCACGCTTGGCCGAGCTGAGTTCAGTTTTGTTATGACCCCCTTCTTTTCTTTCTCTTAAATTACCGTGTACTTATCCAGAAGTTAAAAGTTTAGATTATTTAATTTCTATACCCTTTTAATGACATATTCGCAAAAAAATGCAGATTAAATGCGAGAAAAACGTGCAAAAAGTGCGAGTAAATACGCCTTTCGTTTTTACAGTACGTTACATAAAGAAGACTGACTGTAGAAAACGTGCGTTCTTTGTTTGCATGCTTTTTGACATACATATTCTGCTCGATACAAAAACAAAACTAAGCTCTATTGTAACATGGGAAGAAAACTTCAGATATCGTTGATCAAAGCAGATCGAAAAGACAGGAAAGAGAAAACTATCTGCTGAGCCCAAGAAACCTATGCACATGTCTTGAAAAGAATACCTTTTCTATGAATAAGAAATGTCTCCACACCATGAGATTCTTACTGAAGAAAGTCATGTGCTTGAGAAAAATATCTTGACTAAGACTGCGTATATCATTTGGAGAAAGATTATGATGTTCAGTAGTTTGATGAAAAGAGCTTATAGAAATAATTTATTTTAGTTCTGTTTCCGAAAACTAAGATTGACAGTCGTAGGATAACTTTATTCTCTTTAAGGTAACAAAACAAGCCATACATGATCCTATACGATATCATAATCCTCAAAAATCGCCTTTTCCTTCTTGGCTCCGTATCGCAGATTATTTTTTAGAATAAACCAATGCATTAATCTTAGTTAAATATTTATTAATATTACTTTCTGAAGTCTCAGAAATGTGACGGATTCATGAAAAATGAGCAAAAAGTGCTTTCTAGTATTTAAAAAATGAAGTATTATCATTTAGATAAACCAATTTCTTACTTGTCGAACAAAATCTTCACCTAGATGGAAAAAATTGAATCGTATATCTACAAGTAAAATAAAACTATTTTTTATTTTTTGAAGATAAGCACATCTCATATTGTTATTGACATGAGCAAATTATAAAATAATAAAAAAATACTGTCGTCATTTTTCTCTCGCAGGTGCTCCGCTTCTTACAAACAGGTGTGCATCGAAAAGTGACCATTTTCTATTCTTTCTTTATCAGATCCTCAATGAAAAGCGTGTTCTGGAAATTTCAGCATTTAGAGAATAATGATAGTTTAGAGTAAGGCACCGTTTCACAAAAAGGACTCTTGAATGATCCAAAAGGTCATACGCTTTGCAGAATGACGAACACTACTAGTCATATATATTCAAAGCTTTATTTAAAAATTTTAATAAAGATTCATATTCATTTTTTTTCTTGTAATAACGACCCATACATTGATAGGCATGCAACAGTTACAGTTTTCCAGTTAAAAATTGTAACTGTGTAGCTGTAAACCGTAGAAATTGTAACTGTGATTAATTGTAACTGCCCAAGCAAAAACGACCCATTTTTGGGGTTATTTATCTAGATTCAGCTCCACGTACATCTGTACGTGGAGCTGAATCTAGATAAATAACCCAAAAAATTGGGTCGTTTTTGCTTGGGTGTAAAAGACTGTTTTTTTTAGAAGAATTATGATTGAGTATGTAAGAAGGGGTAGTTGTCGTTAAAAATGGTTTTTGTGGTCATTAGTATGTGCGGGTAGGGGAGAAGGCAAAGCAAGGCCTGTGTTATGGTACGTAGAGGGACAGCTAAGTGTATTCGCTTTAGAGTCAACGATGCACTCAAATATTCATTCTTTCATTATATAATCACAGGCACTAAGATTGTTTAGTATACTGAATCCTTTTTGTACACGTTCGATGACGTATGATAGATTATCATCATACTGTAGAAGACATAACGATGATGTTGGAAATGATAATGAGGGTGACGAACGACGTGAGAAAGTCTTAATTATTAACGCTTACAATGTAATAAAAAATGAAGTAACTGTATTTAATACAAGTTATGTTCCACATTGATCATATCATCTAGCAGATGGCTGCATCTACTTATTTTCCACGACAACCAGTTAGAAATAAAGAAATAACACCACTGACATGTTTATTGATGGTGGTGTGTTTGCCAATATTTTACTATTTTCTCAATTACTAAACATATCACTATACGGTT